CAGAAACGAGCCAGGAATCCCACATTCCTTCAGGAAACACGGGAATGAACTCACAGGGGTTAGATAACTCCATTGAGGGCTGGTCAGCCAGGTTTAACGACCAACAGGGCCCGGACTGCTCAATTACAGGACACGGGCTGGAAAGCCAAGCTGAAGTCACTGGTCATTCACAGGGCACTTCACCTAGAGCAAGCGGCAACGGGGATAACAATACAAGCTCTCCAGGTCTGAGAAGGTCGCTCAGGGTAAGAGGCCCTCCCAAATACCCAGCCAATTACGTAAGGTGAACAGGTACATAACAAGAGCTGACTGAATGTGCTGGCGGGTTGTATTTAAATAAAACAAGGTCGGGGGGGTCACTGGATCTGGTTCAAAGGAACAGTCCCACACCTTATACATTGTGTAACTTTATTTTATTATTAATTATATTACCATCTATAGGATGGCGTCCATGTGGCCGCAATCTTATTTCATCCAGGGGGAAGGGGTGTTGTGTCCTGAGCCTGCAAGAGGCAGGCTCGGGACGTTGCAAGAGTCCCGGGCATTTGCAGAAGCTGCCCGGGACCAGACTGAGCGGCGCCAGCCTTGTGCACATGCGCAAGGCGGGAAAAGCCCGCCTCATGATTGGTTGAACTTGCCCGGGGATTAGAGGGTATAAATAGAGGCCTGCGTGCCTCTGCTCAGGTTGTTCGTAGAGTGGAGCAAACAATAAAGACTTGTTGGAGATGATTCGTCTCAAGCGCCATTATTCCCAGGACTTAACAGTTAGTGTTTAGTTACTGGCTATATACTTTAGCGACCTGTATCAACTCAGCTGCCAAAATATACGCCAAAAGAAAAGAAAGCTTAAAGGAGAGGTTATGTTTTTTAAAAGTTACACTGCAGCAAAACTAAGTTTTATGCTTAATGTTGCTTCTTTGGCAAAACAAAGCTTCATGGTATATTTCTAGAATAAATGAAATGTAACCCTTGCAGCCACGGTATGAGATAGATTAGGCATAGGATGGTGTTGAGGGTGACTTGTTATAGTACCTGAATGGGAGTCTGCATCTCTCCTGGGCACATGTGAACTGTCAATGATCTTCTGTGCCTTTCACTATGTATCCTTTTCTTTCTAGACATGTTCAGGCCTGCTTATGGAATGCCCTAGGATTTGTTCTCTTCCCCCTACTTTTTATAATTTACATGAAAANTAGGCATAGGATGGTGTTGAGGGTGACTTGTTATAGTACCTGAATGGGAGTCTGCATCTCTCCTGGGCACATGTGAACTGTCAATGATCTTCTGTGCCTTTCACTATGTATCCTTTTCTTTCTAGACATGTTCAGGCCTGCTTATGGAATGCCCTAGGATTTGTTCTCTTCCCCCTACTTTTTATAATTTACATGAAAACCCTAGGAGAGGCCATCTGTCACTTTGCCAGCCCAATCATTTTGCAGAATAGGGATCAGCAACGAGGGCAGCACTTATGTGGCTTTGGTTTTCTGTGTGCTAGGATAGCACTTTATCTCAGGCACCTTGAAGAGTCCAAGGAGGCCTGGAACATCTTTCCCAGAAGAAAATTTGGGAATAAACAGGGGGCAAATGATGTTACATCTTTCAAATGGAAAATGTTTTTACTCCCAAACATAGGGTTTATGTCGTTTTCTTACAATCAGACACATACATAAAAAAATACAATGGCATTACCGGTAGCAGTTTTGACGGCTTTGGGGGTGGAGGGCAGTGATGAAAATGAATAATGCTGTGCAGCTCCCCCCCCCCAACAATTTTTCTTAGGGACTGAACCAACATTTATTGAAAAGGTGAACTGCGCAGTCGAGCGGTAGTTGGGCGCTGAGCTCATCTATGGACAAGTTGCGTTTACCAACGGGTCGAGATATAACCAATATTTTACGGAGAGGCTAGCAGAAACAAGCAACTACGATTTTTAGTGTTCTGCGTCTAAGATCTCGCCTGGCGGGTTAAATTAGCATGTACTAGGGCAGGGGTTCTCAACCTTGGCAACTTTAAGACTTGTGGACTTCAACTCCCAGAATTCCTCAGCCAGCTTTGCTGGCTGAGGAATTCTGGGAGTTGAAGTCCACAAGTCTTAAAGTTGCCAAGGTTGAGAACCCCTGTACTAGGGAGAAAGGCCAGCAAAACCTGAGAATTGTTCTCAAAGGGAGGCACCGGGACTCTATATCTAAGCGCAGAGCGGATGCGGAGCCTCTCGCCCTGCCTTGCAACACAGGAACCGGCTGGGGCAAAAGCGCGTCCGCGTGGGATCCCGAGACCCACTTCCGCCGTACAGCCGGCTGCAACTCTATGGTGCAGGAGAGATGGCCGTTTGTTTCTCATAGGCTCCTCCAGGTTTGGTTTCTTCCGGGGTGGGCGGAGGCGTGGACGAAGATGGCGGACGAGGAAGAGAGGGGGAGCCCAGAGGTTTGCACCCTTCGGTTGGGGACGGAGACCGAAGCCGCGGGAGACGGAGAGCTGCTGGAGTGGGGAGAACCCTTGGACTCCATCGGCTACGTGCTGTACAGGTAAGGCTCTCCTCGACCTCGGCAGAGCCGTCTGAGTAGAAGCCGCTTCCCCGGAACTCAGTTAAGCTGATTTAACTTTCAATGGAAGAGAGTCGCTCAGGGTTGAACTGTGGAGTCCTTGGTACTCTCTGAGCTCGTTTCATTACCCGAACTTTGCTAGTAATTTGGAGACGGCTTGACGTTTTAGGGCGCCCCTTATGTTGCTCAGTGTCCTTAATTGAGGCATAACTTCATTGCAAGGAACTTCACTTTGGATTGGGCGGCGTTAGTAGCCATCTAAATCAAGTAAGTAATCTCCCTTTCGGAAATGTGGGGAGATGAAGGAAGGGTCAAGTCCGCCTAGGAAAAGCAAGCTCCCCTCTCCAGCCATTCATTTTATTCCAACTCTAGGATATCCAGGGATGCTTGTTCAGCATGGAGAAATGTTTTGAATTGAAATAAATGTTGGAAATAAAAACCGCAGTAAATGCTCTTAGAGGAAGCAAAGTGTTTTGTGAAGTTTTTAAATGCTTAAATCCCCATCCCAAATATAAATTTCCTGGTCTGGAAATTCTTCATTTTTAATATGTTGGGTCTCAGTGGAGAATGCTTTTTGTGACTTGCTCTTTTTTTTGCCAGAAACAATTAAATAATGTACATAGATAAATTGGTAGAAATAAAAAAAACAAATAGGGTAACTGATGATCATTGTTTCAATTGATTCTGGATAGTTTTTATATGCTTGTATAATGGTTTTTAACTTGTTGTTATTGGATTGTTTTTACTTGTTGTGAGTCCCCAGAGTCACTTAGATGAGATGTGAGGCTATACAAATTGGATAAACAATAAAAATGAGTCCCAGTGCTATCTCTACACACTGTCAATTTTCTTGGATATATTGTTATATTAAGTTTATATAGTTGGTTTTTTATTGTTATCCAACCTCCTGCAACTTGATATTCCCCAAATGTATTTAGACTACAAGTCCCAGAATTCTTCTTTGTTTAATCCAATATACCAATAAGGTACCTAGTTGGGGAAAAGATGTGTTTCCTGTGTTTCTTGTGTTTCTTGTGATGATGCAATCATATGTGTTTATAGAGAGCATAGTAATAGGAATGTTTAAAATATATCAAATTTGTTTTAGATACAAATTCTTCTTTCCTAGTTGCAAGTACAATTCTCAGTAAGGAGCTATTCTGTACTACAACATACACGAACAGGTCTTTGATATTTAGGAGATATCCTTGAACTATATATTTCTTTTAAATGTTCTTGCATTTGCTACCTGCTGGCTGATCTTTTTTGTTTTTTATATAGGAACAGGAAAGAATGGGCAGATATTGAGCCAGTTCCTCAAGATGATGGGCCACATCCTGTTGTTCAGATCATATATAGTGAAAAATGTAAGTTTAGAAGAAGTTTGAGAGACCTCTTCTCAATGGTGGGGATAGTCATGGCAAAATGGCTGTAAAAATGGTTGTCCCTGAATAAACGGACCATCTAAGTTTATCTTCTCAGCTGGTTTTACTCTACCTTGTATTCGTTTGGCCCAGAATCTCTCGCACTCGAGGCTTTATTGAATTGCAACTCTCAACATCGTCATTCAGCATGGCCGCTTGTGTGTGGAGGGGAGGGATTGCAGTTCAATAACAATTTTATACTACTGTTCCTAATTTGGCTTAGTGTGTGTCTTTGCTTTTTGGAGACTGGTAACTTCATTGTAGTTCTAATTGAGTTGTACTGGCTGACCCATTACTGACCAGTGTAAATTAAAATTACAAGTTTTTGCAGGTTTCTGTGAGAGTAAGTTCAGCTGAACACTCTGAGGTTGACTTTGGAATAAATTGTTGTAGGATTTCATAATGGTTCACAAGAATCTGGAATTGTGTAGTGCAGTGATGGCGAACCTTTTAGAGACCGAGTGCCCAAACTGCAACCCAAAACCCACTTATGCATCGTCGAGTGCCGGGTGGGTGTGGCCCATTGGGTGGGTGTGGCCCATTGGGTGGGCATGGCTGCGGTGGTAACGGCAGACTGGGTGGGACTAAAAAGTTCAATCAATCAATTCCAACTTTGCAAGAAGTTGAAATTGACTGATTGAACCTTTTTTTTTTTTTTTGCACACGGCAGCGGAGGCCTAAAGCGAAAAGGTTTTATAAAATCCAGCTGAAGGCCTAGGACTGGGGCAACAGCACGTGTGCCCACAGAGAGGGCTCTGAGTGCTGCCTCTGGCACCCGTGCCATAGGTTCGCCACCACTGGTGTAGTGTGTTTTTCATTGGAAGCCAAAGATGAAACAGATGATTAGATCATCAAGACATGAAAGAAACTAAGATTAGAACTAAGGTATTACACGAGGTTAAAGTTAATTAAAAATTGTTGTATCTACTTATTAAATAATCCTAGAAATTTGAATGTCAAACTTTAAAACTCAATTCAGAAAGGTAAGCTGTTTTTCCACCAGTTAAATGTTAAGTTCAAAGAAATTCAACACAAGCAGATAATTGTATCAGGAAACAATTATATTGATGAAATGTACTATGTGATACTCAAAAGCATCAGAAGGCCCCAGGATTCCCATGCTTTATGCAAATTTACTATTATATGTGGTAATTTTTTACCTAGAATTCACTTTATGTGGAAAAAAGAAAGTTACTATGCAGTTGGTGTCAATTACCTGGAAACTTACCAATATTTTTTTCCTGCCAAAAACACTTGAACATTTTCCCATCAAAACTTTGATGCCCTCACTCTTGTATTTACCAATGTGTTGTGTGGTTGTTCTAGTTTTGTGTTCCACTTATTTCCATATGCAGTTGCTATTACTGTGGTAATCAAAATGGCCATCAATATCTCATTCAACCTTCTTACCGAGTAGGAAATTGACCTTTGAAAAGATTGAAAAGATAAGAGTAAGAAAAGATAAGCGAAGGAAAGCCAAAAACAGATTTGACAAAACTATTTTTTTCTGCCTAGTTAAAGATGTATATGATTACTTCCGGGCTGTTCTGCAACATGATGAACGGAGTGAGAGAGCTTTCAAGTTAACAGGGGACGCCATTGAACTTAATGCTGCAAACTACACAGTATGGTATGTAATAACCCTGAGAATTTATTTTTTTGTTCTGTTCCAAAATAAGACAATTTTAAAATACTTGAGGCCATTCAGATTAGTTACAAGCTGCCTTTTGCTGTGACATTTGCAAACTTTTTATTTGTTTGTTATAACTACCCTGTTTCCCTGAAAGTAAGGCCCACCCCCAAAATAAGCCCTAGCTTGATTTTGGGGGGTGGGCCTAATATAAGCCCTACCCCAAAAATAAGCCCTAGTTTTGGGGTGAGGTACACACTTAAAAATCAAGCTAGGGTGGGGGTGTGGATCTGCCCCATGCACCCTGCACCCTCTTACCTTGCAGCCAGGCCTCTCCTCGCCGCCCACTTTTTTTGAGGCGTCTTCTGCAGCCAGGCCTACATTTCTGGAAAGGCCACTGCAGCCGAGAACCAATTCATAGCTCAGTACTCGGCTGCAGAGGCCTTTCAGAAAGGCCTGACTGCTCTTTTGGCTGCAGAAGAAGTGGACCGGCTGGGCAGGGCTATCGGTGCAGAGGATGAGCAAAAAAGACACCACCACCACCCCCTGAAAATAAGACCTGGTGCCTCTTTTGGAGGCAAAAAAAAAAAAAAGACTCAGTCTTATTTTCAGGGAAACACAGGATATTGTGTGCCATCTACCCAAGTGACTCTAGGTTCGAATGCATGAATGCTTTATTTGGACAAGTGTGATTAGACACACAAGGAATTTGTCTCTGGTGCAGAGTTCTCAGTGTACATGCAAAGCAACAGAATAATCATGATAATACCAATAAGAGGAGGGAGTAAAGAAGATAAAGATAATAATACTTCAGCTATACTACATGGGTAAATACACAGTGGTTTGTAGGTGGTTTATAAGTAAACAGTTTTATGATAAGTTTGGAAACTGAACAAAATACTATAGTATTACAAAGTTACAAACCATCTAGAACTTTAGTCAGTTCATAAAGCCAAGTCATAACACACAAAAGCTTAATTATCCTCACAATAGTAAAGTCAGTGAAAATTAAAAAAAATCTTAAACTGAACAGACTGCTTAGCACAGAATTATTTTCTTTATTTGGATGGGTTCTATTTATTTGAGGCTCATGTTCTTACCAGTTGGACACAGTTCATTTTTCAAGTCAAAGAGCTTATCCAGGAAGTGTGTATTACCTTTAACTATAGCAAAATTCATCAATGTGAGACAATCTTTAATGCTGTCAGACTGCAACTTCTGTCACTCCTAACCATTGTTGGTTTGGGTTGATAATTTGGTGAGTTCAGCAAGAACTGATGGGTCATCTCTGAAATGTAGCAAATGTAGCATCTTTCCATCTTACAGATTTGGGGGTTTGATTTTCAATGAAAAAAATGTCCATTCAGAACTATTATTTATTTGGAAATGATCGATTTTGAAGTACTGACAGTAAGAGGGCCCGGGACAGGGGTTATTCCTCTGTCCTAGTTCTTTTGGACCTCTCAGCGGCTTTTGATACCGTGGACCACAGT